AATTTTTCCGGCTTCTTTTTCTACAAAAAAGAAAAGAAAAGAAAGGAGGTACTAATTAGTAATTAAGAATTAAATTTTCTAGCATAATTATAATTAATGTGATAGTAAAATGATACTAATAATGTTATAAAATTCGAAAAATTGGAAAAATCATTGAAAAATCATTGGAAAAAACGTTCATTAAAATCTAATTGAAATGTTAGTAAGTTAAGTTAAATAAGCTAATAAGTTAATTAGTCCTTTTTTTGTGAAGAAAAAAAAGAGGAACATAAACAAAAGTCTTACTTTCAATCCATTTTCTTAATTTTGGTACCATCAAAAAATGGATCAAAAATGCGGCAACAGTTGCAACTGAAGCACTAATTAACAAGCATAACCAAAGAGATAAACTGGCTAGATGTAAGACTGAAATTGGAACGAAATCTGTTAATTAATTAATTAATTAACAGACTAGAACGATCAAATGCCAAATACTTCCTGGGATTGTACCAAGAATAATTCTTGGTCAATATTAATAATAATAAATATGATAAGTTTATATGAGGGATTTATGCATTGCAGAATTATTATTCTAATATAATGAATATGAAATTAGCTAAAAATTTTAACAATTTTTTTTAAAAATTAAACTTTTTTTTGAGGTTTTTTTAGGGTTAAAAACGATAATTTCATTTTTTTTTTGAAATAAAAAAATGAACAAACCTTTAGAGCCTTGAAAGCTAACAGCAAAAGTATTGAAAGCAATACAAAACCAGTAGAAATATGGTAAAACTCGCAAACCACATTCAAATGGATTCTTCTGGAATAAAAAATTCTTATAGAATATGTCATTATGATCAAATATAGGAATTATTAACTTTAAAAGATAAAATACAAATATATTTGCTTAATACATTACAATAGAAATAATTAATTGACAAATTATAATCATCACCCTATTTTGAATAGAATTAATTAACTTATAAATATATTATTTTGAATAGAAATAATTAACTTATAAATACGCTATTTTGAATAGAAACAATTAACTTGTGAATACATTATTTTGAATAGAAATAATTAACTTATAAATTACAACTATATCTTTTTTAAATAAAATTATATCTTTTTTAAATATAAATAATTAACTTACAAATTATATATATACCTTATTCTGAATAGAAATAACTAATTTTAAATTATAACTATACCTTATTTTAAATGGAAATATTTAACTTAATTTACAAATTATATTTTATTTTAAATGAAAATAAACTGACCCGCCTAATAACTGTAAAATCGACAATTATATAAAGTATTGATGATACTATTCCGGATAATAACGGTGAAATAATCCAGGAAGCTGCTAAAATATATTTTGAAAATTTTCCAGAACCATTTTAAAAATCTATGAAATACAAAATATGATTTTTATTTTTTTTTCATTGCCGAAATTCTATTGATAGATGTCAAAATTTTAAAGAAATAAACAGGTGAAAATGTATTTTTTGAATTGAAACCTGAAAAAATAAAAAAAAAGAAATTCCGATAAATTTCGAAATTCCGGTATTTATACCATTTTGAAATATTAAAATCAATTAAACATACCGATATTCAGAATTTTCCACCAATGAATCCCTTGTGTTCCTCTCATTATTAAGCCAAAACCAACTGTTGCTCCGGTAATACTATGTGTTGTCGAAACAGGTAATTGAGCAAATGTTGCTATTAATAACCAAGTTGAACAACCTGAAAATTACAAACTGATTATATTTATGCATCTTTGTTATTCAGGTATATCCGAAAAATATTGGCAGGTTTTGTAATATCAATGATTATTCATTACAATATGCAATACATCATTATCTATTCATGACAACACATTTTGCATATTTGCGGTTATATTTTTTTAATTCCTTAAAATTAACAAACAACATCAATTGTCAGAATATTTCGACTAACTCAATGTTTGATTCCGTTTTTGCTAACTTAAATTTCAACAATACCCATGCAATAAATCCGGAATTTCATATCCGGAATCCATACATTATATCACGGGTATGAATAACATGATGTGTAATGTATGTGTGCTTAACTACTGTCGCTAATATGGCAAATGGAAACATAGGAGCAATAATCCCCTTTGTTGAAATCCAGACATCTTTGCTGTATATGCTGCCTATATCCTCTTAACCCTATACAATGTACGCTTCATGAGGAAGCTAATTCTTGTAATCATAAATGCTACAAGCACTTTCCCACTCGGAGAAACAAACCAACCTAAGCGTCAAATCATTTCGAAAGACACCTTTTGACAGGTCGGTTAGTTGAAGGATGTTGGATGCGATTTAATCTTTTCATTATTAATTTATTATATCGATGTCGTAATTGCAAGCTCGTTGTTATATTAATAAATTTATTGTAATAAAGGTTTAATTACCTAAGTTTGAGGTATTATCAACTAAAGAAGCAGAAAGAATCCTCAGTTTTTGTCACGGTTGAAGAAAAACGGCGACAACTACTATTCTAACTAACATAATCTTTACTTCCGCTTTTGTTAAATGAAATTTCAATAATACTCATACAATAAATCCGGAATTTTATATCCGGAATATATACATTATATCATGGTTTTATGTTTCATAATTTTACGTATATATCATTAACATATTGCACTCTTTCTTTTCCACCTATATTACTACTACTGATAAGGTTAAGCAATTTCTACATTAAATCTGATAATTATATAAAGAGATGCAGATAATAAACTTTTAATAATACCGATACAATAAATCCGGAATTTCATATCCGGAATGCATATATTATGCCATATTTAGGATTATCAATCTTTTCGATAACATTCTCACATTGTAATATGATACGATTAAAATGAAGAATATCGTTGCATTCATTTCTGTAATTTTTATTCTTCTTTTATTTTTTTAAAAATTTTTCAAACGAATAGAATAAATTGACAAACCTGCAAGAATAGCCACTTGACCAACCAATAATTCTTTTGGTGTATTATTATATAAGTCTAAATCAATGACACCTTTTCTCATTGTATCTGTCACATTATAACCTGAAATTTGTAAAAAAAAAAAAGGAAGAAATTAAAATTTCATTTTCAATCTGTCCATTTTTACAAATGATCATTTGATCTGAGCTCTTCAATAACTTTCTATTTATTTATATACAAATGTTATATCATTAAAATTATATCAATATTAAAGGAAATTTGTAATAAATAACAAAACTAATTCAATTATTTCAATTAAAAATTAAAAATAAAAAATTAAAAAAATTGCACAAACATACCAACAAGAATTGCGCCAAGTGATTCGAATATAATTGCTAATATATAGGCTTTTCGTAGACTAAGCACTTTACTACCAACTGATGTACCAAAAGCATTTGCGACATCATTTGCACCCATAGCAAATCCAAGTACGAATGCTAACACGATGCCAAGGATTAAAGCCCACAGAAATTGGCTCTTTAATAATTGAAAAATATGTGAAATTTTAAATTAAAGAAATAAATGAAATGCAATTAAACTTTTAACTTATTTTATTTTGTTTTGTCTCATTTCATTTCATTTTATATTATTTTAATCTTAATTTAAAAATATTAAAATTACTTTCTGTTTAATGTTCTTAAAAAACGCTTACTTTTAACGTTTCAATTGATAACATTGTAGAAGTAGAAATAAGAGTTGATGTTGCTGTAGATGCTATAAAATCCATCTAATTTCGCTTTTTCTTTTTTTTTTGCTTCTCTGCCTTGAAATTCTGAAAATGCAAAAGTTGTGGAAGACATGAACTGCCCAAGACAGGAATCGAACCTGTGTCGCCACGGCCACAACGTGGAGTACTAACCACTATACTACTTGGGCCGAGATTATTTCCACTAAATTTCATTAAACACAATTCTGAATTGTAAATGTCAAATTTCTGATAAAATTGAAAAAAAAAGGAAAGAAAATATGCTGGAAAGATGAAAAAGACAAATGAAAAAAAAAACACGAGACAGAAATACTCAAAAAGGGCACGGAATAGAAATACTCAAAAAAAACACGGAATAGAAATACTCAAAAAAAAAACACGGAAAAGAAATACTCAAAAAAAACACGGGATAGAAATATTCAAAAAAAAGCACGGAATAGAAATACTCAAAAAAAACACGGAAAAGAAATACTCAAAAAAATCATCGAAATACTTAAAATATGAGTGAAAATTTGTATAAAAAACGAATGGGAAATATGCAAAAAAGAAAAAAACAAAACAAGCAAAATGTATGAATTCAAATATAATAATGCATTACATGAAATATTTTACCTAAAATAGAACATGAAATGAAAAAATTAAAAATCGAAAAAAAATAAGATTTCCATTATTTTTCATCAGATAATTCTCTTGTTGAATATCCCAAAAATAAGGAAAATAATTCAAAAAACCATATCTGCTTCTTCTTTTTTTTACTTCAAAATTTGCTTTAATTCGAAATAAAAATTTGAATAAATTAAAATTATTTAAAAAATATTAAATGAACGATTATTTTGTAACAAATAATAAAAAATATTTTTTGAAACAAAAAATTTTTCTAATTTAAATTTTTAAATCAATTCAAATCACAAATAATATAAATAATAAACGAATTATTGCACATATTATTATATATTGTAATTAATTATCAATTTAATTATTATTAAATATTGAAATAATTAGCCAAAGAAGACAGCCAACAATAAAAAATAATAAAAATATATATATATGTATATCACACAATATACCATTTTATAATCTATACTGATCTATCTTTCCATCTTCCTATCTATCTATCTATCTTTCTATCCGTCTATCCATCTATCCATCTATTCATCTATCCATTTATCCATCTATCCATTTATCTATCTATTTATTTATCTGTTTATCTATCTATGTACCTATACATCTATCTATCTACCTATCTATATTGTTTGCATCAATCAATATTGATCAATATTGATTGCAATCAAATCATTCTTAAACAAATAAAATATGAAATTCATTGAAGAATGAAAATTATTCTCGCCAACAACAATTTCCCCAAACAAAATCATTGATGAATGAAAGATAAAAAAAAAAAAAAGAAAAAAAAACAAAAACATTTACATATACATACAGTAAAAATGAAAAATTTCTGCAATTTTCCATTTTTTTTTCTCCTTCAATAAACATGTAAAAAAAAGAAAAAAAAAAGCAAAAAGATAATATAATAATTTGCGCTATTAAAATGACAAGCGCAAATGGGACAGACGACAGAATGTGAATGTAATAAGTAACCAATGAAAATGAATGATAAAAAAATTCATGTTTAAAATATCAAACAGACAGAGATAACAGAGAGAAATTGATTATAACAGTGAAATGATTGTTGAAGTTAAAATATCAAATATATATATGATTATATAGGTGTGTGTGTGTGTGTGTATGTGTGTGTGTATGATTCATTAATGATTCATTCATCTGATATAATTTTTAAATTGAAAGTTAAAAATTGAATATTACAAAATACATTGAAAATTTAATTTAATAAAAAAAATATTTTTCCGCAACAAAAAAAATTGAGTATTTAATTTAGTAAATATTTATATGTTGATTAAAATTTTTGCTAATTTTAAAAAAATTTCGCAGTTTATCAATTACATTCAGATTGTGTTGTTGTGTTTTTTAAGTAATAATTAAATGTAATTAAGTATTAATTGGGCAAGAATTCATTATTCAAGAAAAAAATATTTAAATATTTTTACGCGTTTTAATTTTATACGAATACATAATTATGAATGCTTAATTATTCAATATGATACATACTTTTATATTTCTTAATTTCTCATCCAAATTTCGGTAGCTAAATGATAAAACTATTTAGCTAATATATATTAGCTTAGCTATTAATCTTACATTATGTTAAATTATTTGTTGATTTGATTAGAAATTTTTGATGAACTATCGTAATATTACGTAGAGTACTTAGATTGAATTCAATTATGCAAATAATCAGTTTATAAATGACTGATAAATTGTCAACATAACTGATAAGAAATCAATTAAATCATTGTAAACAATTTCTCTACAATATATATACAAAAAAAAAAAAAAAAAAAAAAAGAAAGAGAATAAATCGAACGAATAAAATTTTGACAATACAAAAAGAAAATGAAAGAGAAATTATTTTGAAATAACTAATCAAAGATCAAATAATAATTCAAAAATGTAAATTAAACTTCAAAAAAAAAAATCATATAACTAAAGATTAAAACTATTACAAAAGAACAGAGAGTGAGAGAGAGAAGGAGAGAGAGAGAGAGAGAAAAAAAGGAAAGATGGATGTAAAATTAAAATGATAATATTAGAGTATGATGTAATTGATCGAATGATATGATTACAATCAGTATTCTTAAAGCGTTGTAAATTCCAGAAGTAGAAAGAGTGTACGATGAAAGAGAAAAGGTGTTGATGATGAAGTGGGTGGATAATTAATGAAATTAATACGAAACTAATGATAATGAAAGAAGATCACATTTTTACTATTGATTATTAGCTATTAGCTATTAGCTATTCTCACTTTTGATGATTTAAACTAATTTAAATTCTTTAACATTTATCATTAAGCTAAATCATAAGCTATAATTTTAGTATGATAAGAATTCAAAATAAAATTAATTAATAGTTAGCATTCTTCTTTTAATAACTTTTTGCTAATAATCATAATTCATTAATCATTTATCACATATTTATTAATTAATTCAATAAATATTTTTTATTCATGTAATTGAAAAGTTTGCATTTTAAATTGAGATAGAAAATAAAAGAAAAATGAAAGAAGATTTAAAACAAAAAAAAAATAAATTCACTAATTAAGCAAATTAATTAATTAACTAAAAGGTAAAGACTTAACGATTGAATTTTCAAGCTTAACAATAAAATTACAACATTCAATTGCTAATACAACTACTAATGTTAACATAAAATAATAGCATTCATAATTATTTTAATGATAAATAACGTCGCATAAAGAGAAAAAAAAATTTCAAAAATTGTTTGACTAAAATTTTGAAAATTTCAAATTAAAACTTCCAAATTTCAAGCCATTCTTTTTTTTTTGTTTTTGGATTTATTTTAACGATTTGTTTTTTTTCTTGAAAATTTCAAAATTTTACCCAAACAATTTTTGAAAATTTTTCATCGTTTTTTTCTTTTTTTCTTATAAGCATTAAATATTTG